GGGAGAGTTCCCCCTGACGAATAAGACGCTCGATGGCCTTCTTCAGCGTGATGCAGTCGTCGGTGTTGTGCGAGGAGTTCTTGTGGAACCGGCAGTATGTGCTGCCCTGCTGGATGGCACGGACCTCCTTGGCCGGCCGAGGAGCCTGCTCGATGAGACCATGCTTCTCGGCGTAGTCGAGGATGGTGCCGACCGGGTGAGTGAGGGCAACCCCCGGCTGTTCCAACCTCGGCCGCCAGTGGCGATCTATCTTACTTTGTCCACCAGAGCCGTGACGGCCCTGAGCACCCTGGCCGGCCGGGGACGGAACCGGGGCCGGCGAAGGATTTGTCTTCTTGGAGGGATGGCCCCCCTCTTTCTTGTGGTTGTGGAGCTCATCGGCGTCGGCGTACAAGCTTCCACGCTGGAGCGCTTTGGCGTACGACCTTGGAGGGTCGGTGATGAGGCTCCCTGCGTACGGGGAGCTGTGGAGGGCTCCTTGGTATAGGGCGAGGAGGGTGCGCTCATCGGCCCCCTCGACTTCTTCGGTTTCCCTCGTCCACCGATCAATGAACGACCGGAGGGACTCATCATGTTGCTGCTTGACGGAGAGGAGGTGGGTGAAATACTTCTTCGCGCGCTTCCTCTCGGCAAAGTGGGTGAGGAAGCGTTTGGCAAGGTCTTGCCATGAGTCAATGCTCCCTTCGGGGAGCGAGTTGAACCACTCGTACGCTGGCCCCTCAAGAGTAGAGAGGAACCAGCGGCAGAGGTATTCGTCCGACGCGTTTACCATCAGCATGTTGTTCTGATAACGGCTGAAGTGTTCCTGGGGGTCTGATCGGCCATCGTAGGACCTGATGGCGTTCCCCCTATACTTCTCCGGGATGGGGGCCGAGAGCACCCTGTTGGTGAAAGGGGTCCTGGTCCTGACCTGGATGATGGGGTCACCTCGCCCTTCGGCCAGCTCCCTCTCCAGGGCACTGACCTTGTTCATGAGGGCGTTGAGGCTGGGGTCGTTGGAGGCGCCAGCCGTGGGGGTGTTGGCCGATTGTCTCGCCTCCATCTGAGCCATCCTCCTTTCCAGCTGGGCAATGACCTCGTCCCGGGGGTCCCTGGCGGCCGCAGCGGCGCCCGACTGGTTTCTCATGCGCTCGTCGTGGGCCGCATTGATCTGGTGACACACGTCGTCCTCGTGCAGCTTCCCCTTGCCCTTGTCCGGGCAGGGCTGGTCCGCTGTCCGGGACACAGAACCCAAGCTTTCCCTTGGCGAGCCAGACCGACGCTCACCAATCCGCCCTGCCATCCTCTCCGAAACCGTACGACGGCGCGTGTCACCCAACCTATTGAAGGCAGAGGCTTTTCCACGCGCTGGGGTCTGCCCAGGCTCAAGAGGGGAAGCGGGGTGGGAATGGGACGACGCCGTGTCCTGGGCCATCACCCCCTCATTGTTGCCTATCTGGACGGCCAACGGTTGGGGCTGAGGAGGTGGAGTGACATTCCCACCGGTCCTTGGCAAGAGCGCGCTGAGGACGGTGGGGTTTTGGGCCAGGCTGGCGATGATGACCGACAACGCTGCCTGGACCTGTGGATCCACAGACGGAGAGGCCGCGGCCATAGGCTGGGCCGGGGCGTGGTCTGTCTTCTCAGCTCGTCTCTTGTCCAAGCCGATGCGGGCATCAGGGGCTCCGCCGTTGAGCTGGTTGCGGAGGTCCGTCGTGAGGTTGATGGCCTCCTGGAAGACGTCCCCTCCGCCGACCTGGTCGGCCGTAGCATCCTCCTCGTGCTCCATGACCTCCTGGTCCTCAGGGATGGCCTTGCTGACGAGGTTGCGGTTTGATTTAGTTCTTCCCATGATCAGTGGTTAGCTGTGCTTGGTAGCGATGAAGGGTGCTAACTTGATTGTTCTAGCTCTCAACGAGAGCACCAAATGATAGAGTATATCTAGAGAGAAGTAAGAGCTAGAGAGAGAAGTGCAATAATGTGCTTCAATAGAATGATTTTGTCACCCTGATAACTACCTCCAGAGGAAGTATTTATAGGGAAAATACGGGCTGGGCTCCCAAGCCTTGGGCTTGGGAAGCCCATTTACAACTGGACCGCTACTGGGCCGAATACAAAGCTACTAATGGGCTGTACAAACGAGTAAGTGTAAAATCCGGTTCTGTGAGGTCTTCGTGGCCAACGAGGACGTGGCCGACGAGGGCACGACCGACGAGGGCGCGGCCAACGAGGGCACCCGGGTTCCCTGGCTTCAGGACCATATTCTGAGTTGGTACCTTTCCGGCCGATGGGGGTCCCTTGGCCGACGAAGGCACCACTCGGTGTCTTGTGCTTTCTGTTCTTCTGAGTATGTGGGTCCTGGGGCTTAGACCCATATACTCCATCAATATATATATACTCCATCAATATATATATATATACCTATATATATATATATATATATATATATATATATATATATATATATAGAGAGAGAGAGAGAGAGAGAGAGAGAGAGAGAGAGAGAGAGAGAGAGAGAGAGAGAGAGAGAGAGAGAGAGAGAGAGAGAGAGAGAGAATGGAATTATCAACCCGCACGGGTAGCTCAGTTGGTCGAGTGGTGGGAAAAATTGGACGTAGACCAAGGTTCGAATCGCGCAGCGGCCAAAAGGGGGTTTTCAGAACCTGAAATAAGGCTGACCCTCTGGTGCGCACGGGTAAAGGCCTACCGCCGCTTTGCCGACTGAGTCACCGTGATTTACTCCCCCACCATCCTGTCGGGTCGGGGTGGGGGGGCCCTTGGGGTTGGGGATTCAACCTTTTGGACGTAGAGAATGGAATTATCATACCAGAACTACTGACGGGATTTGCGTCAAGTAGTTCTTCATTTTAATTAGGCCAAAAATTAAGTTTATGGTCTAATTCTTTTTAATCATCAAAGTTAACTACGAAGTATTAATTTTAAACTAAAAGATTTTAATTTTATTTGAAGGTAGACTCTTTAAGTTCACCTTTTCACCTCTAACATATATTTAATATAAATTTCTCATTTACTTAATCTCGGAAAAACTTAGTTTTTTAATGATCTTATGGTTAAAACTAATAGTTAATTCTAATGAATAAAAATAAGGTAGATTCTATGGTACCCATAAGTTAAGGTACCATACCTTTGTCCACATGGACCAATGAGAATGTAGAAGTTGAATTATGTAAATCTAAATTAAAAATGATAAAGTGGTGTGATCCAATCAAATGAATGGTAGGTACGGTACCCCATTTTTTAGAAGGGTACCGGAGTTGTCACCTAAAAATAATTGGATCATACACTTCATTTTGACCTAAAATGAAGAACAACCTGATGGAAATCTTGTCCGGTATAGTAATTTCTTTCTGTCTCTGCATGTACACACATTATATATTCCGGTATAAAGTACTCCTTCCGTCCCATAAAATTCTTCTCACTTTTCTTTTTGGGGGCGAGAGGTTCGCTAGGCCCCCTCCAACTACTCCATATCTCCATCCTGATTACAAGGAGAGGAAAATATGATTATTCATATTTTTTGGAGAAACAAAACTAGTTATCTTTTACTACCTCCGTCCCGTTTTACCTTATCGGCCCGTCCCACTAAGATTGTTTCATACCAAATTTGGAAAAGGTTTGTGTGTCTCTAAATTATTCTTACTTTATTTTTACTTTATCAATTCAATATGAACCACATAAACCACTTTTTTATTGATTTGCGTGTCACTCCCTCTTATCCTATTGTTAGCGGGACGGAGAGAGTATAATTTAAAAGGCCACAAGTAATAATTTGTCTTTTTCCATTTTTATTAGGTCACGTAATAAATCCCAAGGTTTGGTCAAAAGTTGAGAAGATTAAGTTTTTTATAAAAGAAAAGATCCCAATTAAGTACAGTAGTACACACTAAATAAAGAAGCGCAAGATTGACCTCGTTTTTTAACACTAATATTTCCTAAATTGGTTGAATAATGTGAAATTTATGATATTGTGCATGAAGTGCTTGTATCCGCTTATTTATGAACTACTAATTCTTGTATTTATTAAACAAATAAAGAAAAAATATACTCTCTCCGTTCTTTTTTAGTGACAATAGTCAACATTTTACATTTGCCAACGCACGTATTTGACTGTAATTAAATATTAATTCTATTAGTAAAAAAAATTAAAAATCAGATTTTGAAAATTTGTAAGGAGATGAATTGAACAATATTTTTTTAAAACTAATTTTCATAGAATAATAGCGTAAAATGAGGTCAAAATAGAGCATATAAATAGTGTAAAATTCAACATGTTGCGATTAAAAAGGAACGAATGATAATATGAAAAATAGCCAAAAATTATTGTTTGTGGTACCTTCGACTAGAAAATAACCATAATCTTATTTATTTTGATTATTACATTATTTTGAGCGGTACTCAGCAGTTGATAGGAGTGATAAATTAGAAATTTGAGTCACGAAAGGGGCCAATAATGTTTTTGACGTCACAACATACATAATAATACTACCTCCGTTCTTAAATAAGTGCAACATGTGAAATTTTACACTATTCACATGTTCTACTTTGACTACATTTTATTTATTGATGTATTAATATATTTTTTTGAAAAATATATTATTAAATTTGTCTCATTGTAAATTTTCAAAAACTAATTTTTTAAATTTTTTTACTAATAGAGAATTATATATATCAATGGTCAAAGTTATATCTCGACAAGTGTAAAATGTTGACTGTTGCACTTATTTAAGAACGGATGAAAGTAATACATAATAAGGAGCAATAGTCATCATCAATGACGTCAAAATAAACTTCAGCAGCCTCGTACTCCGTACTCCGTAAATACTCCCTACTATTGTGTGCTCTGTAGATTGTACGAAGTTACGCACCATTTTCTGGTGGCGCGTTTTTTTAGTTTCTTCTCTCACAAACTATCCTACGTACGGTGAAACCACGAAACTTCGTACTACCTGCTAGGTTGCTATAAAGCTACCAACAAATTAAATTAATTCTAATTAAACCATCCTAATCCTAATCCTTTCTCGCTATATATACGTACACTAGTTGCTTAAACCGACCACAACATAAATCTTAATCTTAGCTAAGCTAGCTTGTCTTAGCTGATCTATCTATCCTCCAAACAACGCACGTACGTACGTTATTCCAATATGACACTGATGATGATGAAGAGAAGTCGAAAGGAAGTTGCCGCGGACGCGGAGGTGCTCGCCATGGCCAACTGTCTCAATCTTCTCTCCCGTTCCGGAGCCGCCGTTAACGCGGCGGCTCCATCGGAATTCGGGTGCAAGACCTGCAAAAAGAGGTTCCAGTCGTTCCAGGCTCTGGGCGGCCACATGGCGAGCCACAAGAGGATCAAGACCGCGAAAAGGGAAGAGAGCGAGAGAAAAGGACATGAGTGTGTTGTTTGTGGTTTGGTGTTTGGCTTGGGTCAGGCGTTGGGCGGTCACATGAGAAAACATCGCACCGACCTTTTACAGGTTGCCAAAATATCCAAAAGGGATGAAAAAGAAGAATACATGGATGGGGTTGGGGTTTTGTTTGATTTGAATTTGATTCCTCAGCGAGATTCGATGTTGGCAGACGAGGAAGCTGCTGATTTTCCCAGGACAACGTTGAATTTGTTCATATAGCTAGTTTTGTTTATGGCCTCGTACATTCTATATATGTGTCTGTAATATATTTCTTGATATTTAGCTGTAAATTATAGAAGTTGTAAATTATTTGTTTCCCAGCGTCAAACCATATATATATCTATATACAAAGTAGAGAGGAAAATTTGACAATTTTCCCGCTAAAAAATGTCAAATAATGGTCAAAGTCAATCCAACCCAACCCAATTAATGGTGTATTGTACCGCAAAATTCAAAAGTTAATACATGGTTGTGGGTTGTGTAGTACCCAACGGTTGCACCATTTGGGTCAAAGGCTTAAATACACATTTTAGCTTAAAAACATACAAAGTATTTGGATGGATCGTCCTTTGATTTTAAAAATGAGTGTGATGGGATGTTTGCCAATTTGAGTGAACCGTCATTTGATTTATTGAACCAAGCCTTTTCATTTGATTGTGCTACATATATACACCATGCTTGGATATTGAGGGGCAAAATGTTTGTAGGAATTAAGGAACACTCCGTGTTACATAGAACCCACGACTCATATGTTTTGTAAATATTCTAATTGTTTTTTTGGCAAAAAAGTATTCTAATTTCTAATTATCAATTAACAAAAATACTTCGTGTAATTTTTGACGGAACTTTTTTTTTTATTTTATAAAGAAAATTCTTAATGTTTGTGATAAGTAATACTGACATCATATCACAAATTCTCAAATTAATAGTAAGTCAGAAGGGACTTTATAAAATATAATGTCTTTGATTTTAAATAAGTGTAATTGTCCACTTTTCACGTTTGTCGAAGTATAACTTTTGACCAATAATATTGATGGATCGCCGATCCTAGTGGTAGTCGGAATCCAAGAAGTAAGAGAGAAAACGGGAAAAATGCTAAGTAAGATCGAGTGTGAATTTCAGCAGCGTAACAACAAGATTGCACAGAGAATTTTCGGATCCCTTTCCACAAGTTGGAAGGTGATATTTATACTAAGGAACAAATACTTAGTCAAAAAGTAAAAAAAATGTTATTCCATTGTGGTGAAGACACATGTCACACCTGTCTAACGGAATGGACAAACTAGTCTTATACTAGGGTGACACGTGTAAAAGGGGATTGGAGAGATAATTGAGATAACTGACTGATCGTAACTGTGTGTAACGGATTTGCACCAGAGAGCTCCTTGTGTTGTCGCTTGTGTTCTTGCTTCTCTAACACTCAAAGAGCTCTCTTTCACTCAAAGTTTTCAAAAGTTCATCTTCTCCTCCGTCGAAACTTTCACAAGGTTGCCGTTGTTTTGTTTTTATTTGCATGTTCGTTTTTATCTCTGATGCAAGTTTCTAGCTTCTAAACGACGACGAGAGTACCGGCTATAACCTCCGGCAACCCCCCTCTTGACGTCGTCCACCCCTCTCTAGCGGTCACCTTCCATCGTTGATCACCTATATTCCCAAGCATCACCATGTTTTTGCTCTTGAGATTTCGAAGCCTCCATTACTAAGAAATCGAAAGTCAAGAGATTTTAATCTTGAGACGTTCGAAATCCATAGCCGATATCTTCATTCGAGATTCTTAGCCAAAATCACCAATTTCGAGATCTATCCACCGCCTAGCCGAAAACCACAGACCGGAAATCCCCTAACCTGACTCCCGAAATTATTAAAAGATGGGCTACCGAATTCTCTTACCCGATATCCCTACCTGAAATCCTGCACAAAGATCTCACTCCCGAAGTTCTTAACATAACCGAAGCCTGTGTTCTGTATTCCCGAAATCTAAAAAGTAGGGCATTCAAAATCTTTCCCTTATAAGGACACCCGACATCCCTTAGGCATTTGCTTCACCCGAAATCCTTAATCGCACCTGTTACCCCAATTCCTAAGACTCGAATTCACCTATACGAAATCCTGAAAGCCTTACCCAAAAACCGGACCCCCAAGACCCCTTAACCCGACTTCTCTTCTCACCCGAAATCCACCAAACCTAAATCTAAAAGTCCAGAGATCTTACCCGAAGTATACATCCGAGTTCTTGAACTCTACCGAGATCTTACATTAAGTCTAATATCAAATTCTTTCTTACCCATACTCTTAGCCCAATTCCCAAAACCAAGCCCATTAACCACTAAGCCCAATTGACCCAAGCCCAAAACCATTTTATTCTAATAAGTGTTTTATCTCTGCAATTCAGGCATAATGACTTTCATTACTGAGGAAAAAGTGTATCCAAAGGAAAAGTGGATTGACATCAAGGAAAACAACTACGTACTGGACCCAGAAATGTTCAAGTGCCACGATATGGTCATAATATCAATTCTGAAGGGACACTCTATGTGGCCAGCACTCAACCTGTCAACCGAAGTTCCAAAAATCTATCTGAGACAGTTCTGGGGAACCATGCACACTACAGAAAACCTCACTCCTACCCTTGAAGCCACCATAGCCGACACCACCATCAAAATCACCCACGATACCTTCAGAACCCTCCCCTACTTACCCAAATCCAACCATTATGACCCTTTTCCTACTGACAATGATCTACTTTTTGATATGCTCAATGTTGGTCACCTACCCCCACTAACCTATTCTCACATTTTGTTGCCAACCGATTACCACGACCATGGAGATCACTTTTCGCCATTCTCAACAACTGTCTGTCATCAAAGCAATCAGGCCACGACCGAAGCAATGTACACATTCTCAAGCTAGTCCACAGAGTAATGTTTGGAAGAATCTATGATTGGGCCCAACTGATATGGTCTGAAATTCTTGAGCAACTGAACAACCGAGAGTCTAAGAAGAAAGCGAAGCACATTCCTTATGTTACATGGTTCTCAATCATTATCAATCATTTCATGAAGGAAGATGCCAACATCCCAATGAGACCATCTGTTGAACTACAAGAGATACCAAAGCTGTTATACTTGAAGAAGTCTGAAAATGATGTTGAGATGCAGCCAATGCCATTCATCACAGCATACAAGGTACAAACCCCACTGTGTTTACCCAAGGAACTTCTAAGCCGAGAGGAAGTAAGGGTTTGAGAACTTCAAAACCCAAAAAGGGCAGGTGTGACTCAGTCCAAGAAAACTGATGTCTCCTCCTCTGGTGCTTTAATTGTTTCATCATCCCCAGTCACTACCATATATCGAACTCAACCCATAGGTACAGGTTCTGACCTTATCAGCTCCCGAGTAGATGACGCTACATCGATTTCAATAGCGCAAATTAAACCAAGCCAAGACTACTCAACTGTCTCCCAATAGATAGTTATTTCAACCATACAAGGGGAACCCTTTATTGACAGTGTATCACCCCGCACCGATAGCCCATGCACTTTAGGTCTTGTGTTCACTATCCTAGATGTTTTACCATTTTCTAGGACACAAACTAATGCACACACTATCACAGGCACATTACATTCTGCCATAACAATCAGAGGTACGCCTGTGAGTACTTTATATTCTAAGGTAGCATTGAACGAGTTCGGAAATCAGCTTGCTCTATTTATCTTACAAACAAAGATTAAATATCTTATCTCTGCCAAATGCTTGAAATGAGGAACACAAGTTCAGAGAAAGATTCAATTCGTGTCACAAGAAGACAAAAGCCAACCATGCTCCCTTTCAGTCAAGTAGATAAATCAAGTGGATCAAAGCAACAGTCAAATTTGAATCTCTTCAACCAACGGAAGATCTTCAACAACTTAGTCTTTAAATACAGAAGGAGTGCATGAGAACATGTTAGAACATTATTTATTGTGTTCAAATTAATTGTAATTATCTTTGATTAATTAGTCTTAGTAGTAACATGCTTTTAATTGTTGAGAGAGAGAGAGAAATAGGCTTTTTAAGTAGATAAGCCCACACGAACGCACGGCCCATAAAATAGAAACAAAGATGACAAGCCTGGTTCGAACAGCCTAAGCCTCTACACAATTTATTCCAGAGCTTTTAGGATGCTCGACTATCTCCCGATAAATAGAAGCAGAGATGGTTCGAACAGCCTAAGCCTCTACACAATTTATTCTGCGTCTATTATTCTCGTAGAGCACCACTAAATTTCTCTCTCAACAATTCATACGTGTATCATGCTATATTGCTATATCATTATGAATATACATTATTGATTGTTGATGAATTATTCTTTTCATTCTACTCAATTTCTCCATATTATTGTTTAGATTATATTCGACTGTTGATCTGGGATTCAAACAATTGGTATCAGAGCAGAGACGTATATACTGTTCGACGTATATTTAAATATTTTTGAATTAATTTGATCAAAATCACAAGTTTTGGTTGAATTATTTTCTGGATTTGTTCTTGAGAAAATACGTATCTTGTCCAGATAAAAAAAATCAATTACATCTCCGGCGTCCAATCATGATCTAATACAACATGCACTCTTGGGATTGGGACCGGGCTATGAGTCACTTGTCGGTCCTCTTACACTTTTTCCCGAAGGCCTTACGTTTGATTCCCTACGCACCAAGTTAGTTCATCAAGAGGCCCGACTAAATTTTCAACAACGATTGGACTCATCGGTGACTGCCCCTGCATTTGCTGCCTTAGCTGTCGCAGAGGGTGCGTCGACAGGAGCTCCTTCCAGTGGACAGCAGCTGCAACATCAACGCGGCCGAGGAGGATGGGGGCGTGGCCAGCGCGGCAGAGGCGGCCGAAGACGTGGCCGCTACCAGCAACAATTCCAACCGCACACTGGTGCTATGGACAACAACCTCCAATGTACGACCAGGGGCTTCTGCCGTATCCGCATGCTTCTTCTGGCCGAGGTCAGCCAACACATTTTTCACCGGGACAATCGAGTACAATATTTTGTAATTCTGTTGCGTCATTGTATAATACTTATGCTTTATCTACTTTTTTTTTGAACCCGGTAGGCAAACCACCAAAATCAGTGGGGCAAACGCCGGGGAACATTTGCCAGGTTTTATAAAATAAAAAGGAAAACAATACAGAGAAGAGGGGGACTAGGCCAAAACCTCTAAAAAAACAGGATAAAAAAAATCAATTACATCTAAGCCGGAGCGCCGGAATGCCAAAGTAGTCCAGATAAAAGGCTGCTCTCACTCTGTTGGGCAGAGCCAGAATAGTGTCAAAGTATTCCATTTGGGCCGAAACCTGATTTGCTAAGTAATGCGCGGCCCAGTTTGATTCTCTCCAACTGTACGAAAAGGAAACTCCCTTTTCCTTGCAATGAAACATTGTTTCCAAAAACATGCCTTTCCACATACCTGTGTCCCAATCCTCAGAAATCAGCAAGCGAACCCCATCTGCCGA